CACCCCATTTATTTTGAAAGGATCTCAATGCCAATGTTTTTCATTATATTCAGTAGCTTTCTGGATCTTACTGTTTAATAACACAGCAGTAAAGATAGCTAGCAAAGGGAAATATGTGGTAGGACTAAGACATATCTCAGAAATCTGAATCAAACTATGGGTGAATTGTTCGGCATGAATAGTGACATCTTTTTGTGCACAATGCTTATCATTGTGACTAGTAAGTTGGGATATAGATGGTGGCTAATTACATCAATGAGTGAGGGACACTGTCAAATGTCACATATGGATTCTTTCAAGTCATAGACTTGAGGCAAAGATCAAAAAAAAAAAAAAAAATTGAGGACTTCTTATGTAACACAGAGCTTACTTATTATCCAGGCTAGATTATGACCACCAGCAGCAAAACCACTGGGCTCTGGTATTCATATATATACTCTGCAATATGCAGAGAGAACAGATTTACATATGCACAATTTATTCTTGGAAGGAATCAAAGACAGCATCCTAAGGGCCATCTGCAGGGCCACCTATATAACCACACATCTGAAGATCAATTTCAAAGACACACGTAAACCAAATTTCTTCACTTATTCCTGTCTTCCAAGACCTCACAACTGAAGGAACACCAAATCGTAGCATCACAGTTCTTTATATGTGAGCACAGGGAAAGGGAAACTGATTCAAAACAGGGAGGTCCTTCCTAGAAAATTTCCAAGCAGAAAACAGCAGTCTGTCTATGTTAACTGGTTCAGCATGAATGAAGAAGTTGTTAGTGAGGAAGTAATGGAATGAGAAGCTGGAAAGCAAGGTAGGGACAGGACAGGTAATGGGGATGTTACTGTGCCTCATTTGGACTTTAGCTTTATCTCCAGAAATAACAGGGTGGGTTGAGGTACTTTAAGCAGAATCATGACCCAATCAAGTTTCCTAGGTATAAAACAATCTGTTTTAACTATTTGAGAGTTTAGGACATAATGTATAAAATAACATGATAGGAGTTTTGAAGTTTTATCATCATGCATGAATATAAAGCTCATTAGTTGTTCTAAATATCAATAACATGACTAAGAAGTGCAGCTCTGTGCTTGTGAATGTGGGAAAATAACAAACACTCCGGCTTGGCCACTCCAATCTTTCATAGGTGCTATTCCAAATAATTATGATATAAATGGAGACAAATTAGGTGAATGAATGAGAGACACTCATGATAGATTCTCCCAATCACGCAAGAGGAGAGGATGACTGGGAGGCAGCCTCCAGTGAGCAGATGACTAGCTGGTTTCAACCTTTTTCAGAAAATGATAAAAATTTTTAAAAAATTCTTTGTTCAAAAGATATTTTTTCATCTAAGGAGAATTCAGGAAAGTTGCTGCAAAAAATGTGATGATTAAAAACTATGGAGCCAATAAAGAAGATGTTATAGAAGAATATTCTGATGGCATGGAAAAATATTTAGGATATATTATTTAGTGAAAATAAATCTGTATGATAAACTTTGTACAGATAAGTATGATAATAAAAGAAAATATCTGGATGGACCATTAACAGTGATCTAGATGATAGGATTATAGGAGCTTTTTGTTATATTGCTTACTTGTATTTTTATAATACTTTACAATGAACATATATTTGTTAAATAAGCAAAATATTAAACATTTATTCAAATTAAGGAATTTTAAACAAAAAGCCAGCCTATGAAATCAAAAGCTTATAAGAATAGAAAATATGTTTCTAACAACACAAAGTTAAAAATGTAGTATTGTGTGTAATTTAATAAACCTTGTAAATTTTTAAATATTTCCCTTTTTAAAAAGTATATGGGTGTTTTATATTCACAGATACTTTATACTTAGGCCAATATTGATTTTTATTATTTTTACTGCTTACTGTTTTACTGTTTTGGAATAAATGCTCTTACAATCACTGTTTTAACAACTTTCTATAACCCTAAATTAAAATTATTCAATAACTTAGCAAAACAAATATAATAACTACAGAGTAAAACCAAGAAGATAGCTAAAGAAATACAAATTATCTCAAAGAATGTATGATAAGCAAACTTAAAATTTCTAGAAGTATTTTTAATTTAAAATTTAAAATATCCCATTTTCTGGCTATAGATAATTTTGTTTAATTTGAGTTCTTTAAAAGTACAGAAATAAAGCTGTAAAATGTTATCTCAGATCTGACTACATCTTTTGATATGAGAACTATGTAAGCATGAGCTAAGTGTACTTTGCATATATTCAGGTAATGTTTCTGAGCATATTACACCTACATATGCTATGCAAAATGTTGCAGAAGATTAAATTACCCTAGCCACATTTGGGAAGCTGCAGTATGTCTGTCATTGCATGTAAACATATGCAGATTTATGCAAAAGATTCTCAAATATGTGTACCTAAAGTCCCAAACTCCCCACAGACATGCAAAGCCAGAAGGTTTTGTTTATTTTCAAATTATTGGAAAACCTATAAATGGGACTAAAGAAATAGATATGCTTATGTTGTATTTTCAAATTTGAGGCATCTGTGTGTTTTTTCTTCCCCCCTTTTTTTTTTGGTTAAGTCATTTGGCCAAGATTTTAAATTCATCTGCAGTAATCTATATGGTAGACTTAATGCAAGCACGAAATTTCCATTTGCTTCAAAAAGTCCTCCAGGAGTTAGGGAAAGAGAGAGTTCATGCACCATTTTACATAATGAATCCAGTTCTTTCAGCATCTAAGTCCCTTCTTGATGGTTTTTGTTATTTGTTAGCTTTTCAGGAGATGCATTAACTCTTTCAGGTTATTGCAACAGAATATGAAATATTGCTAACATGGTTTGCCAAGGTGAAATCACTTTCTAGAATGGGTGATTTGTCACAGCATAATGAATTAACCTGTTTTGGTAAATCAGGTAGAAGCACTACAGTGGTACTGAGGGTATTAGGGATAATGTAGTATCAGTAATTAAAGATAACAATGATATAAATATTTTCTAAAGGCATCATGACAGTTTTTTCACAATAAACAGTTTTTAAAAAGCTGTGTGAAAACCAACTTACTGTCTGTAAATCAAGTAATAGGTTTTACCAAGGGAGTTTTTAAAAGAGCTATGTAGTGTTTTCAAATATGGCCTCAGAATTCTTGACACCTTTTCTATTGGGAACTAAAATAAAATTTTAAGGCTCACCCCCCACTGGCTGACTAAATGGATCCCCTCATGGCTAAAGGAATATCCTATATAACTAAATTGCCTGCCAGGAGGAAGGAGGTCAGACATGCTTTATGCTCTCCCTCCCTTCTTGGGGAACATCCTTTGTAACCCATTAACAGGACTAAGGGTATGCAAGACAAACCTGCAGGTCCTCAATTTACACAACAAATCTATGTCCCTGTGTCTGGTGGCTTATTTCTGATAACAGCTCCTTATGTTGAAACATTCCAACAATTTTGCCTTTAGACAAAGCTTCATGTCTTTAACCAATTACAAGCCAAAGAATCTTTAAACCCACCTACAACCTGTAAGGCCCCCTCCCCCCAGTTCAAGATGGCCCACCTTTTTGGGCCAAATCAATGTATGCCTCCCACATATTGATGTATGACTTTGCCTGTAAGCCCTGTCTCCCTGAAATGCATAAAACCAAACTGTAACCTGGTCACATCGAGTCTACTTGCTCAAGGCTTCTTGGGAGTGGCTCTGGGTCATGGTCCTCAAATTTGGCTCAGAATAAACTTTTTTCAAATATTTCAGAGTTTGGACTTTTCCATTCACACTATCAAGAGGTAGATTGTATGTTTCTTTTTCTTGAACCTGGATCTGTGACTTTTCAACCAATAACACATGGAGAAAGTATCATGGTGACAAATTCTGAACTCAGGCCTCAGTAAACTGGCAGCATCCACTTCCTGAGCCTGTTACGGTTCTCTCTTGGGACCCAGCCACCATGCCCAGAAGAAGCCAGGCAGCCATAGAGAGAACCAAGAGAAGATGAACAGCATTTTTCACCCTGAGCCCCAGCTGAGCTCCTAGCCAACAGACAGTGCCAACTGGCCAGCCATGAGTGTGAACTCTCTTAAAAGTGAAATGTCCAGACACATGAAACAGAGAGGAGCCTTCCCCAAGTCCTGCTCAAATTAAAGACTTATAAGCTAAACAAATGATTGTTTTAATCCATGAGGTTTTAAGTTTATTTTTCATGCATCAATAGTTAACTAGAAAAAATGAAATTTTTGTTCAGTGGCCTTCCCTTTGTGTATGCGTGTGTATGTGTGTGTGTTTTTTAAATGCATTTATGTTTGCTCACATTGGGGCTTTTTGAAGTAATGTATATCTCCAAAGAGTTGGTTCCTACTTAAGGAATCTATGGCCTGTTATTGTCATGGTCTGATAATCATTCTGAACTGTGCAGCAGCATATAAACTGGTCCTGGTATAAAAGAAACAAGAGCCAAGGAAGGAAGAATGCTCAAGAACCTATGATCTATAATTACTGTGTTATTAACCTAAGTTGAAGACACCTCTCTTGATTAATCAAACCACATTAACTTTAACAAGAGTTTTTTTCTATGTCCCTCCTTTCCAGTTAATGATAAAATAAAAAACTGGATGTGATCACAGTATTTAACCAACTTTTGTTTGATTATATAAATTTACTAAATGTATTACTGGTACACTTGGGAGGAGGGTTATCTCAAGGTTGTTTTCTATTCAGTGGTGAATGTTCCTTTGTTTTAGGGTCATTTAGTCAAATTCAAATTTGAATTCACCTCCTGTAAAGTACCTCCCTAAAAGCCTTATTAGGATGTTGCTATGACAGGTGACTCAAGTTTGCAACCACCTGACAACATTCTAGGTAGGTACTTGTGCAGACTGATTCAGGGGCATTCCCTTCAAATATATTTTCCCAGTAGTCTATCCTTGATGCCTGAAATTTCCCTTTTGCAAAGAAAAGTCTAATTAAACAATTATGTAATTAAATCCTTAATGTGAATTGGTTTCTCTTACTAGCTTCCGTTTTATCTGACTGCTAGATCAGAGTTTGTTTGGATGGAAGGAAAAGAAGAGATGTGGAGCTACTGTCTTCATAAGATCAGATGTTGAGCATGGTATAAAGGTATTTTAAGTCAAATTTTCTAATTTTGTCTGTCTGACCTTGTTGCTGTAAATCAGAGTCAAAGAAAACATATACATGTGTTCAATGGGATTTTTATCTTCCTAGTGCTAAAGTCTTTGTTGGTAGCATTTTACACTCGGGGAAGGACATTCAGGTTTTCATCCCACTAGGGGAGCACTTAACACATTACTGCTTCAGAGCCCTCTTAGCCTCCAAGTGTGAATGAGCTGCTTTGAGTACCCACTTAGGACTTACTACCAGAGAGTGACTTAGGCAAGGGAGAGAATTACTCTTAAGGCTCCTGAGAACTCTCATTATTATTTAAAAGTGAAGTTTGCGTGATTACATGATCATATTCTCCAGACAATAACTTTGTTTTCTGTTCCAACAGTTGCCTGTCAGCCCGTGGCCTGTGCTGTCTCAAAAACAGACACCATCGGCAGCCATTGTCCTGCTCCAACTTGAATTAGTGTCAGGGTAATTCTGCAATCCCTTATGATCAATGTTCTGCAGTTTTTATAGGTATCCCTCCTCTGCATAAATATTTCCTCATCTGCCTCCCTGCTCTACCCTGGAGGTCTATAACCATTTCCTAATGGCTTTAAAAAAAGAAAAGTATTTCTTTCGTCTCTATTAAGATGTCTCTGCAGCAGTAGATAGGAAGCAAAGGCTGTTTCTGTCATCATTATTTCCTTCAATCTGTTATGAATATATACAGGCCCCTACCCCATAGATTCAGCCCTGCGTATTAACAGTCTCCTGACAATGCAGTGGAAACGGACTTAATATTTTGCCAAAGTAAAGAGATATAAAATGTGAGCTTTCTATTATAATTAGATGACTCCATGCCAAGTACTTACCACTGGTCCCTTTCACTGGGGCTTGGTTCTTTTTAAAGTGTGTGTGTGTGTGTGTGTGTAACGTTTTCATTTATACATATTTTGACATAATAATAATATCTTAGTACTTATTTTCTTTATAACTGCTTTCTCCTCCTAGCTGATGCTATTGCTGGATAAATAATGTCAATTCAAGACTTGTGAGGGAACTTCTAAAATATGACCAAAAATGAACAGACCAGCTGAATTTAGGAGTCCTCCTTTATAAGCAACTCATTGCACAGAATTTGAAACAGTTTTAGATTATTTAAAACAATGACAACAACAAAAAATTTAGGCTGCATTAGCCATATTCTATTGTACATGATGTTGTAGCAGCTGCTGACAAAGTAAAACCCAGTTTTAGTTGAGGAAAGAAAACAAATGGGGAAAAAAGGAAACTAGCAGTTTTACTTTTAACATTGCCAGTATTATCTTTATTTTTATATACACATTATTTCCCTTGCTACTCACAATAGTATTATAGGTATTGATTTTTCCATTTTGCAGATGAAGAAACTGAAGTTCAGCAAGGTGAAGAAACTTGCCCAAGTTCAAACAGATGGTAAGTTTAAGATCCACGATTTTAATCCTAATCTCTCATTGCAATCTAAGATTTTTAAATAACACCATATAAATAGTCAACCTGAAACAATAAAGAATGAACACAAATTTCAGAATTTTTAAGTTAGGAGTTTAAAGTTTCAAAAGCATGAGCAAAAAAATTCTAAGGCTTAGTGGAAAGGCAAATAATTGAGATAAGAACCTAAGATTGGAAAAACGTAGTAACTTTTGCTGAAAGTGACAGGCTACAAAAAGGAACAAACATAAGCAACTACTATCAACTGAAAGGTTAGGTTATGCTGAGCATATTTCAGAGTGGAATATCTGATACCACCTCTGGAATCCAAACATTTTCAAATTCATGCATTTTGGCATCTTTTTACCATAGAAAATATCCTCCTCTGACTTTTTAAAAATATTGTAATTGTGTGGGAAAACAGTTTTGTTTTATTTTTCATTTGGAAAGGTAGAGTCCATTAAATAGAATACTGTATGTTTTAAAAAGAAGAAAAGAGGTATTTCTAAGATACATTAACCTGGGTTTCTGACTGTTCATATCTTAGGCTTGGAATAAATGAATAAAGATAATTTCAAAATCAATAATATTTCTGGGCCAATAATTTATTTTCTTAGATTTTTTTTGTGGGGGTGAACTAAAAGGTAGATAAGAAGTTCATATTAAATACAAAGAAAAACAAAATAAAATATTATCTACTTGGAAATAAGAACAATATTATGTCTGGATAATTAATACTCACCAGGTTGTCTAAAGAATATTGCATCTTTAGAAAGGTGGACTCCAATTTGAAGTAGACTTTGAAAAAGGTCCTATAATAGAGTTTGGAAACTACATGGGTCTTTAAACAGAGGCTAGAGAAAAAAGTTTATTAAGGCATTTTTGTAAGAATGAGTTGATAATAGTTGTCAAGGAAAAGAGAAAAAACTCATGCCTTATACTGCACAGCTGTTTCCTTATTCCCATGAAGAGTAATAAAACAAAGGATGAGTTTTCAGAGAAGCAGGAAGAAATCCTAAATGTGAATATGAACTTCCAGACCGTCAGAGTGACAAGATACTGTATTCCTTTAGAAACATAGCAGTCCGTGACCTGCTACATAATAAATATGAAGTATTAAATATTTAAACAATTCCATCAAGAGATAAATGGTAATAAAATGAACGAGTCAGAATAAAGCAACTCTCTGTCAGAATAAAGGCTTTTACCCAATGTGTATGCCAGTGGCCCTCTGAAAAGATGTAACTTATATTATTTCCTAAATAAATAGTTCTATTTGAAACAACTTCCACCTCAAAAAGTCCCTGGTGGTGGTTATTCTTCTTTTTCAAAGTGTCTAAGTAATCATTTATTTGCTGCATTTGCTGCTTTTATTCTGATTAATGATTTAGACCTATCCCTTGATTGATTTTCTACTTATAACTTCCTTGTACTTTTTCATGCCTGTCAGAAATTTGTCTTTGGAACTTTTTTTTCTCTCCTTCACACTATTTCTCAATGCTACACACCACTCTAAACTCTCTTTGTAGTAAGATTTCCCATAATGGAAGGTTGTGGAGCTCAGTCCACCCTAATGTCAAAATGACATCAGCATTTCTACAGATTTTACATGGAAATTCATCCCATTGAAAGTTATTATGGAGGCTTGCAATGTGTTTCAGGTCCTGCTGATAACCAAAAGGTAACATGCCATCCCCTCCTTCTGCCACCCACTCAGTTCCATTTCAGGACTCCTTCTTATATCCTGTCTAGGCAATGATCTATCCTACTTTATTGTCCCTCCTGATGCTTCCTTTGCAAAATCCTTATAGATCACATTGCAAATGTAACAGTTCTCTAGGAGCTAATGCACTCAGAGCTCAAATGGCCTTCACAAGGTCACAGAGCTTACTGCTAGACAAATACATAATACAATACCTTTCTGAATTCATTCAACATATCTTTTTAGTAGTTTCTCTCTTCTACATGTTTTAATTCCTTATGTGGGGTTTACTCTAAATGGTGGCAGCAGGAAAATGAGAGAACAACAAGCTTATACAATTACTTTGACCCCAAACTATTTCACAAAACCGTCAGAAGAATGGGTCCAATGAATTATACTCTCTTTCATCCCAGGTTTTCCTTTCCTGTAAAGAAAAAAAAAACAGGAATAAAGGAGAATTAAATGAAATACTGAATAATGGAAGGCTTTTTGCTTGTTTGGGAGGTTGTTTCATTTTGCTTTGTTTGCACTGATTACAAGAACATCAACAGGAGTTACAATGAATTTAAGGAACCAGGAAGTTCCTGGATTATAAACACAAAGCAAAACAACTTTTATTTACAACTAAATCTGGTTCCTCGTGCTCTGAAATCCCCCATAATTTCTTCCCAAAAGTTTAATCCAAGGTGAAACTAGCATGATCCCCTGCTACATGCTTTGTTACTATTTACTTCATTTGATAGAACATTTTTCATCCTAGTATCATTAACATGAGGGTTGGGTTTTATAGCCAGGCCAACTCTGGATGGGACCCACACAGTTTACTCTAGTTCCATCTCACCTGGGCCTGCCGCTCCACTTGATCAAACCCCAGCTGTATTCTTGCTTCCCTTTGTTCTGTGTTAGAAATCTAAGCACTTTTGGGTGTTCTGTTTATTTTAGCTTTTCTGATTTTCTATAATACTTTAATTGCCAATATAGATTTTCCTACATTCAAATTCTATTGTACTAATATAGCATTCATTTTATATAGTTATATAGTATATTTGTTCCTACTTTGCATCATTTTATTTTCCTTCTCATCAACTCTAACCAATACTTACTATTTACCAGGCATTATATATGGTTGAGGGTACAGAGTTATAAGCAAAAGAAAGTTGCAATGCTCATAAAACATTCTAGCAGAGGTAGAGATAACAAACAAGTAAAAAAAATTGAGTAATTGAAAATTTAAATTTCTATAGAAGAAACTGAGCAGGTACCTTTTAAGCAAAGACTTGAAGCATGGCAAGGAATAAACTGTACAAAAAGCTAATGCTGGCTCATGCAGAAACGTGTTGGGCTGTGGTAAGAGAAGACAAAAAGTAAAATATTACATTAATAAAATAATGAGAAGATGGATAAAGGCCTAGTAGATGACATGAAATACTTATTGGTAATTAAAAATATAACACTGAAAAAGGGAGAAGATGAAAGATGAAATCAATGAAAATATCCCCAAATTAGAATAAAACAATGGATATTAAAAATCAAAGACAATAGATATTTAAAAAAACTAAAGACTATTCAAGAGTCCCACTATTTTAGGAATAGACATTAAAAAAGTGAAATGATAAAAACAAGTAGAAGGAAATGATCAATGAAATATTAATAAGACAACAATATTTCCTATAAATGATGGACATTGTCTCCCAATATAAAGGGCTGACAGAGGGCCCTGCACAATCAAGTAAAGAAATCCTACATCAAGGCATACTATTTAAAATCTTTAGAATGTCAAGGATAAAAAAAGTTTCTAAAATCATTAGAGTTCAAAAGGTTCCATACAGAGGAATAAGAATCACAAAACCATAAAAATTCTCAATAATAACAGCCAGAAAACTATGGAGTAATGCCATCACAATTTTAAAAGGACATGGTTTTCAATTTAGAATTCTGCATTTGGCTTATTTATGAAATAATTGGAAGGATAGAATAAATGTATGCTTATACGTATAAAGTTCCAATAAATATATGGCCCATTTTTCCTTTTTATTAAGCTACTAGAAGATGTGATCCAAAAAAACAAGAGAATAAACTAAAAAGAAGGAAAAATATTTTATTCAAGTGGGGTAGAAAGGAAAATCTTCAAAGAACAGGAAGACAGAGTAGAGTTATTTATGCAGTAATGGACAGAGCAGACTTAGAAAACAAATAGGTCAGGCTGGCAAAATAGAATGGAAGATGGTCTTCAGGAAAAAATAGAAATTATAAAAATCTTTAGTGGAATTCAGATTCTGGAAAATAATGTGGATAGACTGATAATGCATGAAAATACGTGCATAGAAAACTAAGCAAATGAAACATGAGGGAGATACTAATTTCAGGGAAAATGAGTTACATAGGCAATTATGTAACATTTTACACAACTTTGCTTACCAGTGGATAATATTTATATTGTCTTATAAAAACTCACAATCAATTTAAGAAAAATTTTTCATTGAACATTAAAGTCTGTGGATAGGAATTTGGAAGGGTTACATAAAAGAAGGTGAAATTTTGACCTTTCATAAAAGGAAATCAATAAATAATGGTTGATATGACTGTATCAAGAAGTACTAGTATATTCATATTATTACCATTTCTACAATGGAGATAAATAGCCAAACAAGTCAAAAAGAGTAAAGCGCTGATTCCTTGCAAGCAACCTTAAGGTGGGCAGACAGGAGCACAGTGTCTCTATTTTTATAAAAACAATTAGTACAATTTGATCTTCCAGAAAATGATCATTTATTGATTAAAATTAGAACTAATAAATTGTTAATATAATAAAAATAAACATAAGTATCCTATAATAATCCTTTAAAACCCAAAAAGAATTCAAGAGGAAAACAAAAGTTCTTTTTAATCCCACAACCTAGAAATAATTACAGTTTCTTCCAAGAAAATATTTTCATATATGTTTAAACTTAATTAGTATCATATTTAATATGGAAAAAACCAATATATACCAATTATTCCTCACCTAATCCATTGGTCATAAAAAGGAAAATGGTGCTATGATATTTAATATAGATGATGTAATATATCTACCCCAATTTTAATGCTATGAACTCAATCTGCTTAAAAGTATATTTGAGAATGTAACTATGTATATACAATACACATTGATGTAATGATAGCAATTTTAAAAATGAGACTAGAAAAGCATAGCAAGTGAAGGAGAGATATGCCTGTTCTGAATAGGATGAGTCCATTTCATTGCAGGTGTCTGAA